AAGACAACTACTATGGCAGACAACTTCGGACTCGGTGCGTTCTACATAGTCTCCCTGAACACAAGACCAAATTGCGACAACGAGGTCAATCCACTTCCATAAATCGAAAGGAGACTGTGACCCTAACAGAGGCCACAACATCTTGGTCTTCATATCTTATTATTAAAGATGAAGTAGGCGTTACTTATGGATAGATTAAGTAGCCTTAAGATTGAGCTCTTGCTCAGATATGCTTCCTTGATAATTTCTGAATGCGCATCTGGGCTGAATGCTAGTGCTTTAATAGTCTTCTAAAATGGGATGATAGTATACATTAATACCTCATCAAAACTCACAATAAGATCTTCCTCTCTAATACTCTGTTGGTATATCAATCTAACAAATTCATATGAATTCTTCACTGAATATTTCCAATACCCCACCACTTTCCTTAGATTTATGCACAAGAATAGTTAAACCCTATGCACCGCACTTCCTTTTTTACTAGCCATCAATCTTAAAGAATTTCCCTTCTCGTGGAATTTTGGAAGGCGTAAGCTGAAGGTGTCCATGCCTCCCTTTGAAGAATTGAATTCATTATCTACTTCTCGTTTTCTCCTTTGTTTACAGAAACGTTGAGCGATTCCCTATGTTTCGCCTTAAGAATCTCTGTGGGATCCTTCAGTAAAAGTCTGTATATTTCTGGGTGATTCAAATGAAGCATCATTTTTTTCTATATAACTTAACCTATGCATGATGGCCATTAGACCATCTTTATCTGCCTTCAAAACAAGCAGATCATTTTGGTGTAACTATCTATACATCATATTCAAGTCATAAGCTTTCTTTTGAAATAATTATCTGGTCAAAATGAGGAATCACCTCTCTTTCTATACTTTTCTTAGCCTCTTCTGGTAGCTTGCCTGTTAAGTTAATTAATTCAACCAATAACTCCATATAATGATTTTGTAGTGTGGTGTTAAGAATAGCAAGGCTCATTGACGATACCAGCGAAACGTCTGAGAATGTACCATGTATATGGTCTGACTCTGGAAATTATCGTGCATACTATGAACTTCGAACTGGGTGCGTTCCTCTAGGCCTTCCTGCCAGTATGATCAAGTTGCGTAAACAAGTTCAAACAACTTCTATACAACGAAAGAAGATCGAGATCATACAAAATGTCACATCTTCTTGGTCTTAATACCTTTAATTAATTACTTGATTTTTGCTATAACAAATAGACCTAAATTTAGCTATATTCCTTGAACTGATTTTAATGTCTAAATTCCTTTATTTTCTATCATGTCGGCATCTGTGAATCTTATCCATCCTTTCCGCCAGACCGTCCGCAATATTATGTAATTTGAGAAAGTTTTATTGAAAAAACAGCAGAGAATTATATTGGCTAGTCCTTGTTTCGGTTCTAATAAGGTCATATAATTTGTCAATACTTTCTTATAGCCTCCTAGTCTTAGCCAAACCACTTGATACTTGTTCCAGTTTCCTATTAGTAGAAATAGGTAAACCTAGACACCTACCAAGGAAACAGCATCTAGGTACTACATTATGTGAAATACACATTTTTTAAAGATATAATAGTAATGGCTTGCCGAGATATAAATTTCTTGGTAAGCTCAACAATTACGAAACAAGAGATTCCTCGAAACCCAACTTTTCTTGTCCTTTCCTGTCACGGTCCCGATTAGGACCACACTTTTTATACCTTCTAGTTCACTTTTCCACCCTCACACGCAGAAAAAAAACTCATCGATTTAACCAGACTTGTATGAAACATTACGCAATCATAGTAAGGGTTAAAAGGTAAAAAAGGAGGAAGGTGTTGACCATCAAGCCATGATAACTGACGACAGATGTTACTTTCTCTTCCAATTACTTTGAGCTACAACTGCTGGTTTCATACATATACGTGCGCATGAAGGTACACACAAACAGGCGAACACGTATGCTTCTATATAGAAATATGGCTAGATCTAGCCAAATCACGGTACAACTTATTAAAATGCATATTTTGGGTATTATCTTTTTATGGACAAACTGGTGAGTTTTATTGGCTTATCACCCTAAATATGGGTGAAATAATGCTATTCTTCTCTGGTGATGTCTATAAGATCTGTGCATTCATGCTAACTGCCAAATATTTTTCAATATATCCCTATATATTTGGGTGAAAAAATCGATCCATGCATATTAGAGCGTTGAATTTGGAGGAAATGGAATAACAAAAAGAGTAATTAGGTGATACTAAAATGCCAGTAAAATTTATGTTCCTGGAGTTTGATTACAGCAAATTAATGGTTTTTATTTCAACTCCCAAAATTAAATATGATAGCTACAGTTTTCTTCTGTGTCTAAAAGCTTCATGAGTCTATATTCTTTCGGTATTCCGTATATTCGGATTAAGTGGGACTATAAAAATCCATCTGAATAACTATCCAACTAAAAATAAGATATGGCTGTTTTGATTTAAATAAATAAAAATAACAAGTTTGCCTCTTCACACTTGGCAGTTAAGCCAAAATGTGATTTTCTGAAAATATATTACATATATTACAGTAGAATTTACTCGGAAATCTGCTGATCTTGTAGCGCCATTCGCTCTTCCAGTTTCTCCAAACTCGCAACTCGTTCTCGGAGAGCGTCGTTATCTACCTTAATCCGTTTGTACTTTTCCATCGTGTCACGCACCAGCACCTCAGAACATAATCGCTCGGCTTCCCGTTCACGAAGACGTTCAGCCTCCTACAAGTGATAAAATGCAAATATTGTGGCATTATGAGTTTGAGATTTATTTAACTATTGGAAAAATGTGAGATTATTGACAGAATAAAAGCATGAAGAAAAACTGGGTTTCGGAGAATACCCAAATGAAATATTGTGGCATGACTCTCCATTTCGAAGGGAAAGTTGGTTAAAAGGAATTCCTGCTGCGGCCTCACCGGAAACCGAAGGATGATTGTCACGTAAGAAAGACTGCGACCAAGACAAAACTGTGCTAAACTTTCTTCTGTCTTCTCCGTAACGGATCGCCTGATGCTGAATCATGTTTGTGCTTGTGCTATTGCCTATTGTGTGTATATAATGCTCATGTCACCATACTCGAGGATAATCCAGCCTCCTCTTGCTCAGAGGCTCTTCCTACACCCACACTCTCTCCCTCTCCTTAAGTCTATCCAGCAGCCACAAAAAGTTCCTACTTAGTTTTCTACTTTCGCTCTTCTTATTCAGGACGTTGGCTATTTTGTTAATTTCTATAGAATCCTTAATCCTACTATTTAACGTGAACTTCCCGTAACCCGCAAAACGTTGTGTTTTTGACCATTCTATTGAATGTCCTGTATTCGCAAAATGTGTTCAGCGAGCTCAGATTTTTGGAACCACAGGCCTTTACAAGCGGTTTTGTGTTCGCATAGTCTCTTGTGAATGGGTCGGCAGGTCCCCCCCACACAGACCTTACCACATAAGCATAAAACCTTGTAACAGCCTGATCTAGAAAGGGGGTCTGAATATTCCCTAAGCGAAGGAACTACTGAAGGAAGTGTTAATATCTTTTTATACATTGTTTATAG